TGTTTGTTTTTAAAAATATTTATTATTTTTATTTTATGTGTAAGCGTGTATTGCCTGCATGTAGGTAAGTGCGCCTGTGTAGTGCAATGCCCGCGGAGGACAGAAGAGGCTGGCTGATCCTGTGGAACTGGAGTTAGGGCAGTTGTTAGCTGGCATGTGGGTGCTGGGATTCGAACCTGGGTCTTCTGCAAGAACATCTAGTGTTCTTAACCGCTGAACCATCTCTCCAGCCCAGGTTTGTGTTTTATACTGTGTGTGTAGTGCAATGCCCGCGGAGGACAGAAGAGGCTGGCTGATCCTGTGGAACTGGAGTTAGGGCAGTTGTTAGCTGCCATGTGGGTGCTGGGATTCGAACCTGGGTCTTCTGCAAGAACATCCAGTGTTCTTAACCGCTGAACCATCTCTCCAGCCCAGGTTTGTGTTTTATACTGTGAGTCTTTCACGCAGAAGTGGGACTGTGGGTATTACTGTTTTTGAGTAAGGAGGGACAGGCCTGGAAACAAGATTGCATGTTGTGATTGACTTTAACTTGCCCCATTGTTTTGGTCTTTTTGAGACAGTCTCTCTGTAGCTTCAGCTGGCCTGGAACTCTCTATGTAGGCCTTGAACTCACAGAGGTCTCCCCCCCGCCCCCCCAGTGCAGGGATTAAAGGCATGTACCACCATGTCCTCTACAACTTGCCTCAAGATTTTATCAAGTTTCAGTACAACCCAGAAATCAAAACCTACTCATTTTGTGATTTCCAAAAATGCTGTATGTATACCATATAACTACATGAGCCAAAATACTAACTTTTGAGATTTGTATTATGCCTTTTAGCTCAATAATAATAATAGTGCCCTGTTTTATGTAACCTAGGCTGGCCTTGAACTTTATGGCCTCACCACTGATCTCCTGATCCTCCTGCTTCCTCTGGAGTGCTGGGATTACAGGCATGCTTGGACCACCATACTGGGTGTACTGGTTAGTTTTAATTGTCAACTTGACACACTTAGCATTATCTGGAAAGAATGAACCTCAACTGAGAAATTTTCCAGGCCAGATTGGCCTGTGACCATATCTATAAAAGAGTTGTCTGTGGGTGTGGTGGTGCATGCCTTTAATCCCAGCACTCGGGAGGCAGAGGCAGGTGGAGCTCTGTGAGTTCAAGTCCAGCCTCTGGTCTACACAGTGAGTTCCAGGACAGCTGGGGCTACAGGGAGACTCTGTCTCAAAGAGACCAAAAAACAACCAAAAAACAAACAAACAAAAACCAAAAGAAGTTTTAAAAAATAAACTAAAATCCATTACTTCCACTTCAAGACCAATAAATCTGTCCTTCAGAGTGTTCAGCAGCCAAATGGGCTAAGATTTGATTCAAAAGAGGTGTGATGGTGCACACAAGCATTGGATGACGTCGAGTCTGAGG